GAGATGTGGATTTATAAAAATTTAACACAATAACTTCATTCCACATGTACAAGAGAATGATCACAACTATAATGGATCAATGCACATATCACTAACAGGAAAGATCAACAACAAAATTAAATCAGGCCAACCCACATTGGGAACATGCATTAAAAACACCTTTAGTACTGACAATGCCATTTAAATAAATCAGTTAATTCCAATGCATATTTAACATGTCCTTTGAGAAACTCTAGGGCCCTTGGAATTCTGCAAAGCCATGCCATGCCAAAAGGTTGGGCTTTTTAATTCTGGGAAGCCTTGTCAAGCAACCGAAGGTGAACAAACAGGAAATTTCATGGAGCCATGCCACATACATGGGATCTCCTGCAGCCTAGCTGAACAAGGGGTGTCACTCCTCAGGCTCCCATGCCATTTCCTATAGCAGGATGGCTCTTGACATGTCCTCTTTAATTTCTTTCAGCAGTGATTTGCTGTTGTTGTAAAGATATTTCACCTCCTAGGTTAATGTTATATCTAAGTATTTTATTTGGGGGGTGACTATTGTAAATGGCTTAGTTTCCCGATTTCTTTTTCTGCTAATTAGTTGTTGGAGTATAAAAGCACTACTGATTTTGTGTGTTGATTTTCTATCCTGCAACATTACTGAAATCACTTATCAAATCTAACAGTTTTTGTTGTTGTTGTTGTTTGTAGTCTTTAGACTTTTTAATATATAGGATCATGTCATGTGCAGGACAATTTGACTTCCTTTTTCCAATCTGGATGCCCTTTTATTTCTTTCTCTTGCCTGATTGATCTGGCTAGTACTTCTAATATTATGTTAAGCAGGAGTTGTGAGAGTGGCCATGCTTTTCTTATTCCTATTGCTAAGAGGAAAATCTGCATCTATTCAGGATGATATTGGTGCTGAATTTGTAATATATAACTTTTATTGTGTTGAGATAATTTACTTCTATAACTAATTTGATGAGAGTCTTTCTCATGAAGGGATATTGAATTTTGTCAAGTGTTTTTTCTGTGTCTATTGAGATAATTGTTTGGTTTTTGTCCCTGATTTTGTTGATGTGCCATTTCACATTTATTTACTTGCATATGGTGAACCATCCTTGCATCCCTGGGATGAATTCCACTTGATCATGGTGTATAATCTTTTTAATGTGCTACTGTGTTCTGTTTGCTAGAATTTTGTTGAGGATTTTTGTGTCTATGTGCATCAGAGATATTGATCTGTAGCTTTCTTTTTTGTTGTTGTATCTTTATTTTTGGCACAAGGGTAATGCTGGCCTCATAGAATGAGTTTGTGGGGGCTGTTTGTTTCAATTTTTTTGAATAGTTAGAAGGGAATTTGTATTAATTCTTCTTTAAATGGTTTGTAGAATTCAGCCATAAAGCCATTCAGTCTTGGGCTTTTCTTTGTCAGAAGACTGCTGATTACTGCTTCAATCTTGTTGCTTGTTATTATTGGTTTGTTCAGGTTTTCTATTCCTTCTTGGTTCTGTCTAAGTACTTTGTGTGTGTCCAGAAATTTATCAATTTCTTTCAGATTTTCGAATTTGTTGGCATATAGTTGTTTATAATAGTCTGTAATGATTCTTTATATTTCTATGGTATCTGTTGTAATGTCTCCATTTTCTTTTCGATATTTGTTATTTGCATATTTTCTCTCCTTTATTTGTTAGCCTAGGTAATGTTTGTCTTTCTTATCTTCTCAAAAAAACAACTTTTTATTAATTGATCTTTTGTATCACTTTTTAGATCTCTGTTTCATTTAGTTCTGCCCTGATCTTAGTTATTTCTTTCCATCTGCTAATTATTTAGTTCTTTGAGGGGTAATATTAGGCTGCTTATATTAAATCTTTCTATTCTTTTTTTTCAATTTATTTTTTGAATTGAATCATAATTGATTATACACATTTATGGGGTACAGAGTTGACCATCAATATTTCTGCACAGTATATGGTGATCGAATCAATATGATTACCATGTTCATGAACACAAATATTAATTATTCTTTGTGTTCCATACCCAATTACTCCTTAACCCTACTTGCTGTCCCCCTTTCCCACATCTAATAACTATAGTTCTCTTCTCTCCTTCTGAATATACACCATTTTATTTTGACCTTTCTTTCCTTTCCCTCCCTCCCTTCTTTCCTTCCTTTCTTCACTCCCAATTATGTATGAGGAAATGTGGTATTTCTCTTTCTGCACCTGGTTTATTTTACTTCACATAATTTTCTCCAAGCTTGTCCATGTTGCTGCAAATGACAGAATTCCATTCTTTTTATGGCTGAATAGCATTCCATTTTGTATATATATCACATTTTCCTTACCCTGTTGACCGTCAATGGACATTGTTTGTTTTCATAACTTGACTACTGTAAATAGAGCTGTGATGAGCATTCTTTTGATGTAAACATATATTGCAATAAACCTCTCTCAGTACTGCTTTTGCAGTATCCCACAGGTTTTGGTAAGATGTCTTTGTTCTCATTAGTACCAAGAAATGTTTTGATTTCCTGTTTAATTTCTTCTTGGACCTATACGCCATTCAGGAGCATGTTGTTTAATATCCTAGTGTTTGTATAGTTTCCAAAATTTCGCTTGTTATTTGTTTCTAGTTTAAATCCATTGTGGTCTGAATAGACACTTGAAATAATTTTAATTTCTAAAAAATTTTTGAGACTTGATTTGTGACCTAACATGTGGTCTTCTCTGGAAAATGTTCCACGTGCTGATGAGAAGAATGTATTTTCTGTACTTGTTGGATGAGTTGTTCTGTGGTTACCTGCCAACTTCAAATGCTCTAAAGTGTGGTATAAATCCTGTGTTTCTCTGTTGCTTTGTTGCCTACATGATCTGTCCTATGTTGAGAGAGGGGTGTCAGTTCTCAAAATATTAATGTATTGGGGTCTATCTCTTTCCTTAGGTCTAATAGTGTTTACATATATATCTAGGTGTTCCATTGTTTAGTGCATATATATATATATATGATTGTTTTGTCTTCTTGCTGGGTAGATCCCTTTATCATTACATAGTGGCCTTCTTTGCCTCTCTTAATAGGTTTTTTAAAAATTATATTTTAACTGTTATATGAATAGCTACTCCTGCTTGGTTTTTTTTGTTTTTTTTTGTTTTTGTTTTTTTTTTTGTCTTTTGTCTTTTTCCGTGTCCGGCAACGGATCGCAACCCTCAGTGTTGCCCCCGTACCAGACCGGGGACCGGCAACGGGATCGCAACCCTTGGTGTTGCTCCCGCGCCTCGCTCAGCCAGTGAGTGGGAACCGGTCTGTATGTGGGATCCGAACCCTCGGGCAGGAGCGCCGCCGCGCTTCCCAAGCAGTGCACTATCCAGTGCGCCACCGGGCCGGCCCTACTCCTGCTTGTTTTTGATTTCCATTTGCATGTTATATCTTTTTCCATCTCTTCATAGTCTGTTTGTGTTTTTTTCAGGTGAAATGAGTTTCTTTTAGACAGCATATAGTAGGTACTAGCTTTTTAATCCAATCAGCCATTCTGTGTCTTATGAGTGGAGAATTTAATATATTTACATATGGGGTTTTTACTGAGAGACTTTGTTTTACTTCTGGCATTTTATCAATTTTCATTTGTGTGTTTTAAATATCTTTTGTTTCTTACTTTCCCAGTTATTGTTTGCGGTTTGGTGTGTGTTGGTTTTTGGAGTTGGTAAGATGTACTTTCTTTCTGTTTCTCATTTGCATTTTTGCTCTAACACTGGGCTTTGTTCCTTCTTGTGTATTCACGGTAGTGATTACTGCTTTTGAATTCCAGATGCATGCCTCCCTTAAGGATTTCTTATATGATGGGTCATGTGTTGTTGAACTCCTGTAGTTATTGTTTGTCTGGGAAATACACTTTTTCTCTTTTGTTTCTGAATGACAGCCTTGCTGGTATAGTATTCTGGCCTGAAAGTTTTTTTCCTTTATTATTTTGTATATATCATCCCATTCTCATCTGGCCTGTAGTTTTTATGTTGAAAAGTCTGCAGTTAGACTGAAGGGGACTTCTTTATAGGTGACTTAATGCTTTTCTCTTGCTGTTTTTAGGATTCTGTCTTTGTCTTTGAGTTTTGCCAGTTTATTGATAATGTGTTTTAGACAGGACCCTGTTGATTGAATCTGTTTGGGACTCTTGGAGCCTCCTGAATCTGAAGATCCATGTCTTTCCCTATACCTGGTGAAGTGTTCTGCTCTTATTTTGTTGAACATATTCTCAATGACTTTTCCTTTGTCCTCCCATCAGGAACACCATGATTTGGATGTTTGTGCACCTAAGATTGTGTTATCTCTCTTAGATTTTCTTCATTTATTTAAATTCGGTTTCCTTTTCTGTCTGTCTGAGTTATTTCAAAGAGACTGTATTCAAGATCAGAAATTCTTTCTTCTGTTTGTTCTAGCTTACTGCTTAAGCTCTTAAGTTGTGCTTTTTATTTTGTTGAATGACTTGTTCAGTTCTATGAGTTCTGCCACATCCTTTTTAAAGTATTAGTCTCTTTGTATGTTTCCTCTTTCATATCCTGGATAATTTTGCTCAGTTCATTGTATCATCAGAGTATTCTTGAGTCTCAATGAGATTCCTTAAGATTTTTAGTTGGAATTACTTTTCAGTAATTTCCAGTATTTCCTGCTCTATGAGCTCTGGTACTTCAGAGATATTGTATTTCTTTGGTGGACTCATATTTTCATTTTTTCTTTCTCTTTTTTCTGGTATCTCTACATTAGTGTCTGGTTGTCTGGTAAAGCAGTTGCTTCTTCTGTTACTCTCCTACCCTGCACACTGTTGGTGACCCTCATTATGTCAATGCAGTTGAGTGGTCAGCAGTCCTCCTGTAAAGTGGTAGTGGCTGCTGTTGCTGCTGCTGTGTTAGCAAGCCACTCGAGTATTGCTGGTGATTGTTGAGGTGGCACTGGTTGGCTGCCCATGTGGCAGTGGTGCAGTGGTGGCTCCAGTGGTGAAGGCTGCTCATATGATGAGGGTGATGGTGGTGACTGCAGCAATGACAGTTGCTCCAGCTGCCCTCTTGGCTGCAGTGTTTGTAGTCATGTTCTGTGAAGCTAAGGTATCCACAGTAGCAGCAGGGTTACAATGGCAGTTGCAGTGGTAGCACCTGCAAATTCCTCCCTGGTGTTTGCAGTGTCCTTACCAGCAGCAGGGTCACCTTATGGGGATGTCAACAGCACCATTGGCTGTTGCACCACCCCCTTGCATCTCCAGTGGTTGCAGTAGCAGTGGGTTACTTCATGGCAGTGACAGCATTGCTGGTGGCTGCAACAGCCACCCTCGTGTCTGCAGTGTCTCCAGCAACAGCAGGGTTACTTTGTGGGGATGGCAGTGGTGCTGGTTACTGCAACACCCTCCCTCACATGTGATGTCCACAGCAGAAGCGGGGTCGCCTCATGGGGACAGCAGTGGAACTGGTGGATACAACTGCCTCTCTTGCGTCTGTGGTGTTCTTGGCAGCAGTTGGGTTACTTCATTGCAGTGGCAGGAGCACTGATGGCTGCAACTGTTTTCCTTGTGTCTGTGGTGTCCTTGGCAGCAGTGGAGTTACCTCATGTGGGTGGCAATGGTGCTGCTGGTTGTAGCAATCTCCCTTGCATCTGTGGTGTGTTTGGCATCAGTGGGATTAACTCATGTCTCCAGTCTGCAGTTGTAGTAATGGGCTACCTGTAGTGAAAAGACTTCTCCTTTGCAGGGATCAGTTCTGTGATGGAAAATGGTTCTGGGATGGGAAGATGGCTCCAGCGACTGCAGTAGTGGTAGTTGTAGGCCTGTTTCGATCCTATTCTGTGGGATGAACATGCTCTGGGCACCTCTAGTCCAACATCTTCCCAGATGTCCTGTTGTTCTTTATAAGACTGTTTTGGCATTCTGGGTCCGTTGAATTTCCATATGATTTCGATCCTATTCTGTGGGATGAACATGCTCTGGGCACCTCTAGTCCAACATCTTCCCAGACGTCCTGTTGTTCTTTATAAGACTGTTTTGGCATTCTGGGTCCGTTGAATTTCCATATGATTTTAGCATAAGCTCATCAATTTCTGCAAAGAAACCAGTGGAAATTTTGACAGGGATTGTATTAAATCTGTAGGTTAATGTATGGAGTGAAGCCATTTAAGAATTGAAGTGAGGCCAGCCATACCATCTGCACACAGGAACCCCACCTATGCCATTGCAACAGTAACCCTTGCTGTGTGCAGGACCCCTGGCATAGCCTCATACAGGGCAGTGGCCACCACCAGCAGCTGGCCACATAGCTGCTATGGTCCCAGCTAGACCAGCCACATGCAGGACCCCCATTCAAATTATCTCACCAGCCAGCCTGTTTGCACTGGGACACCCCCCCCCCAAAGTAGCCTGCAATGTGGCTGCTACCAACATCAGCCATCACACCAACCAGATTGGTCCACAGAACCCCCTGCTAAGGCTGGAGAAATAGCCAGCCCAGCTGTGTGCAGGATCCCCCTCATCACTACCACCTGCAGTGCAGCTCTTTGCTCCTGCCATTACTGCTGCTGGCAGCCATACACACTGCCACTGCTGTCATTGGACCAGTTAGACTGGCCATGTGAGGGACCCACTGCCACCACTACTCATTGACAGAAGGAAGAGGTAAACCAGCACAGACCTGTTTCTCAGTGGCCCACCCCATAGGGGGAATAATGCTGCTCCTGTGGTTGTGCACCTGGGGGAGAAGCAATGTGTACAGTGCATGTGACTGCCTTAACCCAGAGAGAGACACATGCAGAGACCTGGGAGAGAGCAGAAACCCAGAAGAGCCAAATACTCTAAGAAAATCCCCAGAAATCACCCACCCATCCCCCTACAAAGAAAAGTAAGTACCCAAGAAAAGCCTCAGTCTGTAGGAATGAGGAAAGAGAAACCCTGCCAAGGGTCACCCATTCAAGCTGAGGAGATCCAATATACCCAAGTGCACCCACCAGGGTCATGGGACAGTAGCCAGGGAACCAACAAGCCCACTCACAGCCACCCACCTCAGCCAAAGAATGCCAAGTCACCCACCCAGGCACTTTTCCCAAGACATCAAGATCTTACCAACATCCTTGACAACCATACACAGTGTCACTAACCATAGCAGTTAACCACTAAGTGCCTAGGCCATGGAGGCACTCACATGCTACATTGACATTGAATATAGCTGAGGTATCCACACAGAGACTACCCTACTGAGTCTACCTGGAAACAATATGAAAACACCCTACTCAACAGTCAGTATAAAACACATCCACAGGAAGAAGTCTCTCTCCTTGAAGCCCAGACTAGAAGTAAATGCTCTGTGAGGTGACCAGCCATCAATGTAGAGATACTAGAAATATGAAGAAAAGAAAATATGACACAACCAAAGGAATATGATAGTTCTCAAACACCAGGGCCCCCCCACCAGCCCCCCCCCGCCCAAAACAGGACACCCTTGAAATGTCTGAAAAGGAATTCCAAGTAACAGACTGATGGATTGACACCAGGGCCCCCCCCAAAACAGGACACCCTTGAAATGTCTGAAAAGGAATTCCAAGTAACAGACTGATGGATTGGATTAAAAAGCTGGATCCAATTATATGCTGTCTACAAGAAACTCATCTCACCTGTAAAGACACAGACCAGCAGTGAATGGATGAAAAAAGATATACCATGTAAATCAGAATAAAAAATGAGCAGGAGTAGCTATTCTTATTTAGGAAAATGTAGACTTTAAATCAAAAACCATAAAAATAGATAAAGAAGGCCATGATATAATGATAAAGGTCTGTACTCAAGAAGAAGACATAGGAATCATAAATATAGACATCCAACACTGGAGCACTCACATGTAGAAAGCAGTCAATGTTAGACCTAAGGAAAAAGATGAATCCCAATATAATAATATTTGGGGACCTGAACACCTCTGTCTTAGCATTGGACAATCATATAGGCAATAAATCAACAGAGAAACACAGGATTTAAAGCACACCTTGACCAATTGGACTTGGCAGATATCTACAGAACATTACACCCAACAACTAAAGATACATTCTGCCTATCAGTTCATGAAGCATTCTCCAGGATAGATAGCATGTTAATTCACAAATCAAGCCTCAACAAATTTTGAAAAATTAAAATCATTTTGAGTATTCTTTCTAGCCACAACAGATTAAAACTAGTAATCAATAACAAGCTAAACTCTGGAAACTATATAAAAACATGTAAATTAACCAATATGCTCCTGAATTACGCAAGGATCCAAGAAGAAATTAAACAGGAGATCAAAAAATTTCTCTAAACTAATGAAATAAAGACACATCATACCAAAACCTGTGGGATACTGCAAAAGCAGTACTGAGAGGGAAATTAAATTGCAAAAATAGCCTACATCAAAAAAATAGAAAGGTTTCCAATAAACAACCTAACACTACACCTCAGAGAAATGGAAACAAGAACAAGCCAATCCTAAATGTAGCGGACTCTCACTTTGCCACTCCTCTTTTACATCATATTGGAAGTACTTGCCAGATCAATCAGGCAAGAGAAGGAAATAAAGGGCATCCACACTGGAAAAGATGAAGTCAAACTTTCCCTGTCTGAAGAAAACATGATCCTGTACATAGAAAAAATTTTAAACTCTACACAAAAACTCTTAAAGCTAATAATCAATTTCAGTAATGTTGCAAGATATAAGAAAGACACTCAAATATCTGTAGTATTTTTAACACTGTAACAATGAACTAGCCAAGAAAGAAATCAAGAAAGCATACCCAATTATGTAGTCACCAATAAAATAAACTATCTTTGAGTTAATTTAAATGAGTAAGTGAAAGATTCGGACAATGAGAACTACAAATCACTGCTGAAAGAAATTAAAGAGTACACAAAAAGATGAAAAGACATTCCATGCTCTTGGATTGGAAGAATTAACACTGTGAAAATGTCCATACTAGCAAAAGCAACCTACACATTCAATGCAATCTCCTTCGAAATACCAATGACATTCTTAACAGAAATAGAAAAAACAATCCTAAAACTCATATGGAACAGCAGAAGACCCTTAATAGCCAGTGTAATATTGAGCAAAGAAAATGAAGCCAGAGGCATAACACTACCTGACTTCAAACTATACTAAAAACCTATAGTAACCAAAGCATCATGGTACTGGCATAAAAACAGACATGCGGAGCAACATAACAGAAAATAGGGAACCCAGAATTCAACCCACAAACCTACAGCAAATTGATCTTTGAGAAGGGCAACAAGAACATACATTGGGAAAAGGACTACCTCTTCAATAAATGATGCTGGGGAAATTGGACATCCATATGTAGAAGAATGAAACTAGACCTTTACCTCATACCTTATACCAATATCATCTCAAAAAGGGTTAAAGAATTAAATATAAGACCTGAAACTATAAAACTCCTGAAACAAAACATAGGGCAAACACTTCAGGAAGTAGGATTGGGCAAAGATGTTATGAATATAACCCTAAAAGCACAGGCAACAGAGGAAAAAAATAAACAAATGGGGTTATATCAAACTAAAAACGTTCTGCACAGCAAAAGAAATAATTAACAGAGCAAATAAAAAATCAAAACATAGGGCAAACACTTCAGGAAGCAGGATTGGGCAAAGATGTTATGAATATAACCCTAAAAGCACAGGCAACAGAGGAAAAAAATAAACAAATGGGATTATATCAAACTAAAAACGTTCTGCACAGCAAAAGAAATAATTAACAGAGCAAATAAAAAATAACGTACAGAATTGGAGAAAATATTTCTAAACTATGCATCTGACAAAGGATTAATATTAAAATATAAAATTAAAAATAAAATTAAAATACTCAGAATTTAAAAATGGGCAAAAGAGCTGAATAGGCATTTCTCAAAGTATGATATACAAATGGCCATAAGGCACATGAAAAAACGCTCAACATCAGTAAGCATAAGGGAAATGCAAATCAAAACTGCATTTAGATGTCATTTCACACCAGTTAGACTGGCTGTTATAAAAAAGACAGGGAATAACAAATGCTGGTGAGAATTTGGAGAAGGGGAATAACTTCTACAT